AGAGAAGGAAAAAAAAAAAAGAAGAAACACAGAGCTAGGGCGAGGTCCCACTAGCAAAAAGGATTGGATTGAATGCCTGCATCTGGACACGTTTGCTATGGTTGCGTGGTCTAGTTTTAAACACACACACACACACACACATATATATACATACACATACATATATATATATTTTTTCTATGTATCTCTTGTTATACCCGCCCCCCTCACCCCCCCCCCCCCCGAAAAAAAATATATATATGTATGTACGGTACACTAAGCTGTGGTAGGCATACATTCTACTTATGTCTCTCAGTTAGCTATCTGTGGTACACTGCATTTGGTCAATTTCGGTGACAAGTCTAGGTGCTAGCCTCAGCTTCTTGTTGGGGGGGGGGGGTTTCTGCAGTGCCGGCCCAAACTGCATCTCCCCCGAGTGGGGGAGTTTTACATACTAATTAGTAATAACTCCTGGAAATCTCCCCGTCTTTTCCAAAAGCGCTCCTCTTCTCCCTGTGCATTGCTCCTGCATCGTCGGAGGTCACTTACAAAGGCGATCCTCGTGTTCTCCAACATCTTCCCTTGAAGGGCTTGTCGGGTGACCGCCATGCCCCGTCTCACCCTTTCATTGTGCGCGGTCCATATTACCCACAGGGCTTCTGCTCTCAGAATCTCGCCCGCCAAGAGGCTGTCTTGATCCAGTTTGTGCGATTTCTTGGTCTGTCCCAGCCGCGTCGGGGGGAGAGGGGGGTGCTGACACAGGAAGGGATGTGGAGGAAAGGGTAGGTGATTGATTGCCATCATTTTTGTTTTCTTCATGGTTTTCAGGAGACTTCGACTATTATTATGGTTGTCATCAACACATATAATATAGTCAATATAGTGCTGGTCATCGGTTTGGACTTTGGATGCTTTCATTGTCAGTTTTTTAAACTTTTTTGAAGTTTTTAAAAGGGTGATACCCCCCGCGTAACGTCATTACGTCCGTCACGATCTGAACTCGTAACCTGTTTATCATCAACACTTACAACTTTGAAATTACAATGACACGTTAGATATTCAGCAAATTTGACGCCTGTCAGGAGGACATTCGGGAAATAGTACCAATCTTTCAGGGTCATCGCAGCCGCAACTGACAAAATACTGCGTCTTTTTCAGGGACACCCGACAACCTTTCCGACAAAGTAAATGACCATAATGCCAATTATAACAAAGAAAAAGAGCGAAGATCCATAAGTACCAGCAGCTGCCGCACGAGTGCCTGACGTCAGACCCTCCCAATCCTCCCTCCCTGGTTCATTGAGGTGCACATGTCTGCAAAACGAAGCAGTCAACACTATCAGCATATATCAGCGATGAAGTGCCCTTTCTTTTCTTTTCTTTCCTTTCCTTTTCTTTTCTTTTCTTTTCTTTCTTGCTTTGTTTCTTTCTGCCTAGCTGTTGATCTTCGTAATCAATGGTCAGAAATGAATCGTAATCAATGGTCAGAAATGAAGCACCCAAGTACGTGGGACCCCCAACCCAGGAAGATCAGTAAGCTGGGAAGTTGGAACTAAAACAAGCAACTCGGGTCTCAAAAAGTAGAGGTCTCTTTTTCTTTTCTTTTCTTTTCTTTACTTTTCTTTTCTTTTCTTTTCTTTTCTTTTCTTCTCTTCTCTTCTCTTCTCTTTTCTTCTCTTCTCTTCTCTTCTCTTCTCTTCTCTTTTCTTTTCTTCTCTTCTCTTCTTTTCTTCTCTTCTCTTTTCTTCTCTTCTCTCCTCTTCTCTTCTCTTCTCTTTTCTTCTTTTTTCTTTTCTTTTCTTTTCTTTTCTTTTCTTTTCTTTTCTTTTCTTTTGCGTTCTTATTTTTGTTAAGGAGTTCGTAAGAATTGTCCTGTGTGGACCCTTAAGGGATCACCCCTGTGTGGACCCTTAAGGGGATCACC